AAAATTGTGAAATTCTCATCATTTTTTCAACTAAGGAGCAATTGGGTACAGGATGCTAAAACTATTTCAATTTCTAAGAATTTATTTTTTTCATCAACTTATCAATAAAGTTACCTCATTTGGTTGTTGATTTCCAAAAATCGAATTCCGACGTCGTTCGATAGCACGAATGGTATCTCGACGTAGCGTCAAACGTCTTTCACTATTAGAACGATCAACTGCTTTATTACTTGATAGTGCAAAGAAACGTTTCCTGAATGCGGCGTCAAGCGTATCCGTTTTTGGACGATACATTGAACGCTTAGAAGATTCCAAATTGCGAACAATATTTCGACGTGAGATCGCTTGCTCCTCCTAAAATCATTTTTTAAAAAAAAAAAAAGAAAATAAAAATAAAGCTTTCCAACATAAAATACAATTGAATATCATTCTAAAATATAATTGAAATTTAAAAAAATAGCAGTAAGCAAGCAGAAAATAATTAAAGGTATGAGGTAAAATTGTAAAAACATTTTCAAATCAAAAAAAAAAAATCGTCTAACGATGCTAAATTTCACAGTAATTAGCGTACCGATGGAACATTTTCATCGGGTTCGTCAACTCCACGAATAGCTTGGAGTTCACGCGCTATTTCGACCGCATTTTGTACAACCAATTCATCTTCCGTCAGATGATCCACACGTTTACGCCAACAAAATAATTGTGTTGACGCTATTATATGTGCCATAGTACCAAAACGATGTAATAACATTCCTATGAACTGTAAAAACAAATCACTCCTCTAAAAGAAGATCCGCGTAAAGTTCACGTGAAATAATGAATTTAAAGAAAAGCTTATTTTATAGAAATTATTTGAAAAGAAAAAAACAAAAAAAGAACTGATAAATTTTCTGATTCATCAGTTTTTTTTTTTGAAAGAGGAAAATGTGAAGTAAGAAATATTATATTAAAGTAAAACGAAGAAAAAAAAATATCAAAAAAAAGGTAAAATAAAGAGTATTTTACAAAATTGAAATAGAAAAGTAAAATTAAATAAACAGAAATATGACAATATAGGATAAGGAAAAGCAAAAATTCATTTCCGATGGTGACCTGAACAATCAGAATGGACATGAAGAAAAGTAGGAAGACAAGTCCGATTGGTTCCAGTTGAAGCCGTGTGACCACCCAAATTGGCTCTCGAATATCCGTGCTGCACGGAATGATTGTATGATTATAGCGTGGACCTAATGGCCATTCAATATGAATGCAATCTTTTTGTAGCTGTAGCAAAAGCACAATAATGATAAATACGGTATTTACCATAAAAAATCCGGAACAAACCTGAAGAAAAAAAAAACCAAAAATAGTTAAATTTTTAGATATGTTTAAAATTTTCAACTATACCATGATTGTATTATTAGTGTGATTTCAATGATCAAAATAATTGGTAATGATTGGTAGTTTTTACCTCAAAGATATACTTGTAAAGTAATAAAAGATGTAAAATGATTTTTTTTTTCAATTATTTTCCTATAAACTAAGGGATAATATTTTATCGCTTTTTGATCTCCTTTTTCTTTAAAAGAGATAAGGTTATTGGTTTAAACAGAGAGATGATATCTTGACCTCTTTCAATTAAACTATATAAGCATCAATAATATTAAAAGATGTAAAAAGCATTTGATTTCCCTTTTTCTCTTTCTCTTCTTTTAATTGAAAGGAAGCAAAGAAATCAGTTTAGTAATAAATAATTTTCAAAAAAAAGAGAAATTTCAATCATATTTTCCATTTTTTTTGGCCAATTTTTAACCTTATTTCGTAATAGCATAAGACCGGTTCTGATATGTTTCTGTTCTAATTGATCATGAATAATTGGTGTTAAATATTTGCTGATAACATCATTCCAGAAAATTTCCTCATCCGGATCCAACGAATCTTTCTCCGCTCCTCGAATACATTTATCATTCAACCATACTTCACTAATTTTAGAATTCCATTTACGATTACGCATAGCAGATGCTGATTGATCAGTTATATCACGATCATCTTCTATTTCTGCCTAAAATTTAAGCAGCATTTAAATATTTAAATTAAATGATTACACCGTAAGTGTAATCATTTCAGAAATAGAAGATGATCATATTAATTAATTATTCAATTAACAGATCAATCAAATTATGGAGTGAATCAATATTATGTTCGTAATGAAATAGCTCTGATAATTTTGTCTGTATTTATTTATAAATTAGAATTTGTTGGAAATAAATATTCTCTTTGCCTGATCTCCCTTATTTGAATTATTCTCCCATTTTGATAATTCTGAACTGTTGACTGGTGCTGTTACTGTTCGAGGTGGTTGCCGTTCAATTCGATCCAATTTATCCATCATTTCATTTATTTTTCCACTCAATTGCCAAATCTATAGTAAAATTTTGAAATTAAGATTAATTCTAAACGTCTAATTTCATCTTCCACTTTTTCTTCAGTTGAATAGAGCAAAAAAAACTTTGCTTGTCCGTACATACCTGTGCTATCTCCGTTGATTTATCTCGCAGACAGCACATCAGACGACATGCTGATCCACAACCAATCGATATTTCACCATCCGCCTATACAGAAAAGTTGAATAATTTTTTTTCCGTATAATTACACAAAAAGAGTAATTAACAATTATGGATAATTTCATGCAATAATTTCAGCAAAAACCAAAAGTATTAATTAA